CGATAAATTCGCTACCAATGACCTTCAATAGAAATGAAATTAATTAACTAGCTTTAAACATAGTATTTTAACAAAAAAAAAACATTTATTGATACCTATGGTTATTAGTAATAATAACACCGCAAGTGCCAGTCGGATATTCATCGGTAACTAAATAATCAGCAATTAAACCTTCTCTTTGCGCAGCATTGCGCATCTGTTCAGCGAATTGATCATTGCCGACACATCCAAAATAAACAGTTGAGTTTGGCTGAAGAATGTACTAAATCAACAGATAAACATATATCAAAAATATTTAATTAAAAAAAAAAATAATCGTAATTTCGAATGCGGACATTAGAACATATGTAACTAGGTAGCTACACAATCTATATGACATAAGAGGTAGCTACCCTTGACTTCAGTAATTTTGATGACGTAACAATTTACCTGAGCAGCTCGAGCGACATTCTGGGCAGCACCACCAGCTACATAGTCAGGTTTGTAAGATTTGACTAATTCTTCGTACCTTACGTTCAAATAATTTAAATGTCAATAAAAACTTCAAGATGAAGCTTACTTCTGTTTAATAAAAAGGAAAAAAAAATAAAAACAAGTACAAAGGTTTATGCTTTTCTTCGGCAAGGATAGCATCGTTGGCTTTCAGATCGTATCTAAATTCAGTAAAGTAACTCGTGAGAGTTGTAACAATACTCTTATTCATTGGAGATATATTCACTTTTTAAGAAGGGACTCATCGGCAACAACGGAAATATCCAATAAAGGGTTACCCATACAAAGAAGGATAGGTTTCCGTTCGGTCATTTTTATGTCTTGCAGAGTGACTCGGTTTTCGTATATTTATTGTTACGGCTATTAAATTAACCTTCAATTCGAAGATTGATCGATCAGCAATCGCGTTAAGTACAAATCATCTGACTTTGTTCATAATTACATCACTAACTTACTAGACTATATGTCAGAGGAGGCCAATCAGAATCATTCAATTTTTGCAATCCCATAATTTCTTTTCAAAACGAAAATTTCTATTATATAAAATTATGAATTCAATTATTTGTGTCGGTCAATTTGGCAGTTGACTGTAACTCTGCTTCTGGAGGACAGGGTGGTGGAATAGCCCTTACTTGGGTCCACAACTCTTTGCGCCGCACGTTGAGAGTAGTGTCTCACTTGAACCTGATGTGAACATTCTGGTCTAAGTGTAAATTTGGATCAGGAGGTTCTTAAATAGCAGGGATAATGCCCGAGGCTGGAAACAGAGCAGGGAAAACTTGCAGCATTGGGTGGCAGTGAGGTAGCACACTTGAGTGATTGGTTGTAGAGGTTGCTAAGTGAGATGGTTGGACTGTCACCTGACTTTTTTTTTTTTTTTATATCGAAAATCAAAATCTCAACTTAGCTAGTTTTATGCCTCCCGATATAATTTTGCAACCAATCTTAATGGAACTGATTGCTTCGCTATAGCAAAAAATCTTGCGAGTTTCAATTTAGAGAATAATTTTTTATGAATTTTATTATTTCTTTATCTATATGCAACATTTCCATTATATTATGTCATAAAACAGATTTTTTCAAGTTTTAAAAAACTATTCAACCTTTTTTTTTTGACTGGTATAATACAAATTTACGAATAATTCATAATTTAATTTTTCGGGTTAAATGTTTAATATAATTAGAAGTTAGTCCCT